GTGACAGTCATATCATTTTACTTAGCTCTTTATAAATTTAGAAGAGCAAGGAACGCGGAAGAATTGTCTGTTGCTGATCATTGGGTTTTTTTGTCACATGGGTGTGATAACTTGATTTATTTATACCACAAGTGATTAGCAAAAAAGTCTTCAAATTTGTTTTTAACTGAACAGAATAAAATTAAGTGTAATAAAAACAACTACATTGCTGGGAAACGTACTCTCTTTCTCTTTGCTGGGTTGATCAAATTGACGCATTTTATACTTGCATATTACCTGTTCTGTTGATTTGTTGAATATGTTGTCTTTCTGTACTTGGATTCAGTCTATTGAAAGGATGCTGATTCATAGAAGACACCAATTGATGTAATATGGGATATTCCATTTTTGTGACAAAGGCACGGAATGTAATGGGTCAATAACTGAGTGAATCCACACATAACCTCTATTGTGTTTTTTTGTTCGCAATTTAACAATCAACGGCATGATTTCATGTCAAGAATTGAAAGATGGCCAAGTTGAGTTTCGCTATTGTCACATTAAGTTGAACATCCTTGAAGGAGTCATTTTTCACCGAAATGACACTATGATATTTTTTTTTTAAATTAGGGGGGGGGGGGCAACATGGGCAGGGCAGGTCAATTATCCCCAAAAAAAATTAAATAGACGAGAATCTTAATATAATGTTATGTCCGATGGATAGTAGTATAAAATAAAACATTCGTTTTGAATTTGAATTTAGGTTCCTGGGTATTGTCAACCGGACGTGTTTGGCCCAGCGTATAACAATGAATCCGGAGTGAGTGTTCTTTTGATTATTATATTACTGTTGTTATCATTATTGTGAAAATGCAAAACAATCCAGTGTAAAACTTTATATATTTTTACTGTGAATTGTGTAACACATGGCCACTTTTGACTAATCTGATATCTATTTTTTTTTTTATATCTTTCTTTCTGTGTATTATTTTGTCCTCTGAAACTTCTTGACCAATCAAAACAAAAAATTAAATATGTGAGTCATGTTCTGACTGCTGTGACAATGTTTGTGGCATATAACTTCTGTGAAAATGGGAAGTAGTGTTATGTTAATCACACAGTGCCAGTATTGCTTGGATAAGAAAATCAAATTTACAAAATGGATTATATTAAGTCTCAGTAAATTACAAATTTTGCTACATATTGTATATTTGTTTTGGTTTGGAGTGGCCAAGTACAGTAATATAAAGTAACACGTTGTTATAGTTACTCATTTAAGAAACTAAAAGTTTTGAGATGATTGACAAATGCTAGTTTTCTATTCTTTGATTTCTAGTAAATGTATACTTATATAAAAGGTATATGGTAAGAATTCTGTCAATATTCCCCCTGGGGAGGCAGTGTTCTCCCCAGAAAAATAGCAAAGAGTATTGATTAATTTGCATAACAATGTACCATGTTAATCACCTCTATTGTATTCATTGTTATGCTAAATGGACTATTGTTTATCCAAAATTAAACAGTTGGGAACCCCTACTCTTTAATGCCCTGGGGAGGACCCGGGGAGGGGAGGGGTTGCCATTTTAGAAATAACTACCGTAATTATAAAAAATAACTAAAACTAATAATTTAAATAATGGGGCAGAAATAGCTTTTTTGAGTTTTCATGATGTTTCTGGAGTATCATACATGATTGGTTTTTGTTATTCGACCATTGTGTGGAGTCAGTTACAGCTTCATTGTAACAATGTACAGGACTCAGTGACAAAGAATATTGTTGTTAGGAGTACAATAAAATCACCAGTCAAC